GTGAAACGTCAATTGCCTTATTTTATTTGAATTTTATTTTGCCTGTGACTCATGCTGCAATTTTGCAGTATGTTTCGAATCTTCATTTGCATTATTCCACCTCTTGGTGCCTGGGTGATTTCATTTCTACACCACCTGAGGCTTGCTTATCTGTCGACGCAATTAAGAACTTGGTCGAGTCACCTTGATTAACTGATAGAAGTGATTAGGAAGGTATTTATTTATTTATATCAAACGGCAGGCGTTGTGATAGTTATCATTAGTCCTTTAGTTGACTTCAGGCTTCACAGAGGTGAAGGAAAATCAAAGCGACAAAAAGTCGAGAGGGGGGACAGAGTGATGATTCATATGTGTAATAGGAACGGACAGACACAGACAGAGAAAAGGTAAGATGAGTACTATGGAAGGGGTCGAGTATGACATACAGTGGGGTGATGGTAGTTTGAAGTTTGAAGTCAACTCCCAGTTAATAGCCTTTTTGCCGTATGCTATACGTTGCCCAGGGTGCACCACGTGGAGGTAAGTCTATCTCACACCCCCTGTGATTACCAAGGTCTTCCAAACTTAACAGAACTCTCTCGAGTTCTCCCTGAAAGCATTTCTATCTATTCTTAAATGAAGAGTTTGAGTGCGTACGCTGCTACTGCATTCTACGTATCCGTTTTCGTGACGATTTATAAATATAAGATATTTATTTCAAATGGCAGGCGTTTTGATAATTATCATTGGCCCTTTGGCTGACTTTGGGCTTCACAGAAGAGAGAAATATCAAAGTGGAAAAAATTTGAGAGGGACGGGAAAGTGGTTTACAGATGTAAGAGAGACAGACAGACAGACACAGACAAAAAGGTAGAGAAAAAGATAAGATGAGTACTGTGGTGTGGTGTAATGACATAGCGTCGAGTCGTAGTATCTAGAAGTCCGAAGTCAACTGCAGGTTTACAGACTTTTTGCCGTATGAGTATACGCTGCCCAGGGTGCACCACGCGGAGGTAGGTCCATCGTACACCCCAATTAATCTTAATCTTAGTATATTACCTGTAAAATTAAGATATATAGAATTTAGTTCGTCTTTCTTCGTTCTTATATTATCAAAACCTTATTTTATTGATGCATGCACTAGCCCTTAATGCAGGTAAGTTGTAGATGTTTCCGGAATTAATTTTTTTTTAAAAGTACGAGGGTCGTAATGATGGAATTGGAGCTGAAATGTGTAGCAGATTAATGGTGACTGCAAATGCATTCTCCATGCAAATTTATGCAAATTAATTGGTCCACATTCTCTTATTCGTTTTTTTTCCTTCTCTTCTCCCTTCCCACCCCATAATTTTTTTTACGCTTGATTTAACAAATTTGCACTTGCGCGGTTGACTGATTGACTGACCGACTTACTCTAATATGCTTGCTCCATTCGGAATAAAATAATTAATTAATCGATTAATTTTGACGCTTCTGCACGGTTTGGTAGAGGTGCATTCGCTTAACCATCATCATCCTAACAACCAACAAATGCATCCTCAACACGTTCCACTTTCCAACTCAGCAAAGTTCACCAACTCAACCAGTGGGTTCGGCACCTTAACCTCAATGTCAATGACCCATGCTGAGGTTGATTCTATGCTATGTCTCTCCCCAAATCAATCTTTCACTGATTTTCCTTCAGGAGATGAAGGATCTGTATTTCCCATGCCTCCTCCCATCGCTGTTCCTTTCGTACCCCGACTGAGAATGGCATCTGATGTTTCCATACAGCAAAATGTACGATCGGTTAGCGCGTCTCGTGTCAGTGGGACACGACCTAGATCCTCCCTTCCTCCCCCTGTGCCTTGTCGATCATCCTCTCTTCAAAGAAACTACTAATGCGGCTTGCTAGAGCTGTGATCTGTGATCTTGGATGCATTTCAACATCATACACCTTTGCAAACACTTAAGACCTTTTAAAATCAATGATTTTAATTAGCTTAGTGCGCTTATTAAAGATTCATATGAATTGGTTAAATGGATTTTTTGCTTGAAGCATTTCCAACGTTTGGGGGATCTGTTCGTATTTGCATGATCGGAAGCACCTCTATGAACGTTCTATCCAAGAACTTTGTATTAGATGTTAAAGTTTGTAGACATTTCGTCTGATCTTATATCGATATTACTGCTCTTTCTGAGTATTTAAACTCAGGTGAATTCTATTATCCCAAGAGCCTTCGGATCTGAACTATTCAGGCACATGTAAGATGTAAACTTTTCCGCCAAATGAAGAAAACTCGACATCCGGGAAAATTCTTTCCTAAATATGATCTTTGGAATTTAACAATATTGCTCAAACGTAATCTAATTGAAAAAGCTTAGAACCCCAAATCGGAATGTTCCATAGGTATCTCTCCTCAATGGGATAGAATTCGAAAGATATGTACCCTATTGGCCCCTGAAAAATGTCCAAGTTAAATTATCTTATTATTGCCATCCTGACTAATATTAGTTGGCCCAAGTTCCTTCATACATTTTCATCAATCTCAGTCCACACTTATTTTTAACCAGATGATTTAATAACTATACATTGATTTGAATTTCCTACTCATTCAATATATATCTCATTTGACTAAGCGACGTGTCTGTTTCAATAAGAGAACGTTTAATCAGTTTCATTGAGATGAAAGGTAACTGGCTACTACGTTTCTTCGTTATTACTGTTATATGATTGGTTGCTTAATTAGCCAACAGAAACAACATTACGCAGGATATTCATGGATTGTACTGCGACCCAAAATCGTATACTACCATAGTAGCTCTGTAAGGCGTGACATGGCGGAGGATAGAGCAGGGTTAGGTTAAAGAAGGATACCGAAAGTCCTAATTTATTTGATTTCAAGAGACACATTGGATTAAGCATCTTCTTACTGGAGGTTGAATTCACTTTGCCCCAAAGTGGCTCCACATTTCGGACACTTAGAGTCAATCGACAAACAGTGTTAAGCGAGTTGTTGTTCACGCCAAGTTGATTCAGTAGTGCCTTCGTCTAAATAATAGATTTACCTAGGGTCTTGAGTCGTTATAATGCACTTTTCACTTTTCAAAACTGAATTGTTATCTAGTCAAGGGTTTGCGAAATTTGTTGCTTCTTACAAGCTTAATTCTTCATTTCCTTTTCGCTTAAAAAACTACCTCATTTATGAAATCTTTCTTTGCTCAATTTGCTAATTAAGTTAATATATCTTCCTGTGTTTTTAATGTTTTACATCCGCCTTCTTGATTGGTGGTGTAAGAACGTTTGTTTATTTTATTTGGCATATTTAAATTTAGACTGATCGAATTTACTTTTAGCCAATCACATTTTAAATATGTTACGTGTGAGTTAAATAATAATTCAAACAATTTGACCTTTAAAGTTTGCTTTTAAAGTGAAAATTGTGATAGTGGGAAGGTAATACTTACATAACACAAGGTTTTTAAATTTTACAAATGATACTATATCGTATACTTTCCACCTTATATTGCTTTCTCATTATTTTTGTCGTTTTCAACCCTCCTTTCGATAAAAATTTCTGTTTGTGGAATAAAATATTTATTCACTAAGGTTTTGCCTCCGTTTGTATTTCTATATCACTTTCCTTTTGGAATATGCTCCACAATTCTAGAAGGGACTGTGGTCTGATGAATGTGAATGATGTGGTAGGACCTTCCAATCTACTTCCTCACTTTTCAGAACACTTGTGCTTACATCTCTGTCATAGACTGTGAAGTTTTTGACAGTTTAGTTAGGCTGTAGCTTTTCGTCTTGTTTCAGAAACTCTATTGATTATTCCGCATTTATTCCACCTAGAGTACAAGAGAAGTCTTTGGAGGGTGAATCGTGGCTTATGGGGTGAAGTGGGTGGTTGATGTGGAGACAACTGCGGTTTTTCCTCCTAAGGTTGTGGTAAACGATCCCCCTCTCAATCCCAGTAACCACCTGCAGGGTAAACTACGAATTCCTTGTTGCCTTGTGAACAAAATAATGCATATGTTTCACCGTTCATTTTGCTTAACTGGGAGAGTTGGTGATGTGGCACCCAGCCCGAATTCTCATCCTCTCCAATTCACCATGCATTTCAAGAGTAATTGGACATTCTACGATGGTCATTTGAGTTTCTGTTAAAATTCTTTAATAGTTTAGAGAGGATTTAATTCATCCAGATTTATCAAGACATCATCATCAATGCCTCAGGTGGTTCTGGTATTGGTGAATTACTTAAACTCCTATTGGTCGATTTAAATCATGTAAGGCAAAGTGGACATATTGGAACTGTAAGCACAGGATTATACATTTCAGTTATGTGAACAAAATTTGGCTGTCTATTACGCAAAGTGAATTCAAACATCTGCAAAGGGCATGATTTCTTATTGGTCGCCCTGATACATGCATTCTGACTATAATTTGCCGCAATTTGGTGTCTTAGCCACCTATAAATAACTTGTTTGGTTGTGAATAATTATGCGAGACTAAAAGACACGCTTTCACTATCGCTTTTTCTGGAATTTAATCCAAAGTCATTAAATCTATTAATAATTGCCTTTGCTCTTCTAATAATATTTGAAATACATCTATTTTAGTTTAGGTTTCCATTCAAATCGCAACTAAGGTGAGTTATATTAAAGTTTAAATAAAATTCGGGGTTTGTCTTGATTAACGTTTTTCACTTTGTGGATCTTCCGAAGGGTGGTGACAATATGAGTAGAGTCTAGTTGTATTGTAACTTATCTTGTTTCCAAACATTTTAAGATTTATTTCAGGAAAGTTGTCACCAAATTTACTGGGAAAATATTTCCTAAAAGTGAATTCAAAGAAGGCGAAGTGAACAAGGTACAATTTACCTTAATCCGTAATGTTTCCAACTCTGCGAACTAAATAATCTTTTATTGGTATTCCAGTCCAACTTGTTTAAGCTCACCCTTCGTGTTGCGTAACTTCCTTCAGGTTCAAGCGTGGCAAGTTCCCTGACTTCTCAATCAGGAAGAAGTGGCACCGATCCTTCAATGCACTCCAACTCCTACCATCGTCGCAACTCTCGTCCAATCCATCATTCCACAGGAGTACCCGTGGGTCTTTTGAGGGCCTCAAAATCTCCCGATGTTAATTCGCTTCGTCGAAGTCGTTCCCGCAGTTCTAGTTTCTGTGCTTCGCTTGCAGGGACAACTATTTCTCCAAGCGATCATGGGGTGAGTCACGAAAAGGTTAATTCTTACTTAACATGAAAACGCTAATCTTGCGCGTTGTAGTTTATGGTGGACTTAATATCAAGTAGTTAATAAATCTTTCTACTACGAATACTTAACTGATCGCACTGTAGCACTCCTAATACCTTGTTCAGTAGTGAAGACGGTTTCGTTTAGACTTTCTGTGACAATGGAAGCGGGTAGGGAAATTAAGAGATTTTAGTCCCTAAGCCAAAGTGTTATTGACACAGCTTTGTCACGGGAACCTTCTTAATACTCAGACATGGCAACGACTGGGTGATAATGCAACGAACATTTGCATTTGCATGATTTTCACAATCAACCTTTTAATAACTGCGTCAATCCCCCCTTTGTATTTACAGAGTTGAATGCATTTTCTATAGTTATGCGCATCTCATTATCCTCCTTCCTTCATACCCCATGTCATTGGTCAAAGTTTATAATTAGTTGTGATTGACGTCCGTTTGACATATTTGCGAGCTTCCTATCAATTTATGCAGTGGGTTATTCCCACGACGTATGTGGTAAGCCAATAGGAAGTTGTCTAAGCTGGCGTGAATTTCGTTGTCTATTTATGCACAAAGAAAGTACAGTGTTAATGTGGCTTTCAAATTGCAACCAAGAAAATAGCATCATTGCATCATTCGATATATGCAATTATTTGTTTCATTTTCATGTTTTCTTCTCTTTTTGCTGATGATTGGAAGAAAAAGCTATACAGTCTTTCCACTTTTGAGATTTAATTCTTTTAACACCCACATTATTTTGCAAAATGCACCCAACCGCACTCACGCGAAATGATGAGTTTCGGAGGTGCATCAGATGAAGGCTATAGACATGTTGATAGTGTTTCAAATGTCAATAGTACCTTCTATTATGAGTCTAGTACCAATGGAGCTTATTTTTAAAGAGGATCGTACGGTCCTAAGGGCGTTAAAGTGCTAAGTGCTATTATTTATTCAAAAAATGTAATGTAAGCTTTTCGCCCTTAGTTCCTGACCTATGCATTCATTACATATACAGTAGTAGATATAGCTATAGGCTAGAAGGTCTCAATGCAATATGGCAGAAACAGGTATCCCAGTTGGTGCCCTTTCCAGCACCCCGAACACGATTACCACAAGACAGGAATGAGACAGCGCCAACGATACCAGCTTCTAACCCTAACGCGCAGCTGCTCGTTAACAAGCAAAACCAATGTGGTGTATAATTAACTATGCGGGGTAGACAATAAAGTTGACGTAAATGGCGTTGTGTGTGTGTGTGCAAAGTCTCGACATTTGTGTGCACTGCCTCCTACAATTGTTGAAATGGGGATCACTCAATTATAGATTGTCTCGCTTCACTGCCTTTGGGGGGGGGGGGGATTATACTTCCAATTTCGCTCTCGGAGCTATTTACGCGATGTAGCTTGCAAAGTGATGAAATTAGCCAACCGCGAGTTTTTTCCTCCCTATAACTTTGCCTAATTTTGCCACAGAATGCCTCCTACTATTCTATTACAGCATAATATGCATTGTAATTTTGCTATAATGTATTAAAATTTTCGCTTCTAATTGCAAATTGAATGAGAGCGTATTCAAAAAAGGCGGAATATACTGCGCAAAGGTGAGTTTTCTTGCCGAAATTTGACATCCTCCTATGACTGGTTATCATCTAAATGCTTGGTGTCAGCATTTTCAATAAGAGGAAGAAGATTAGGGAATTTGACAGAGATTACAGTTATGATATTCCAACAGGCGAACCCAGGACGAGTTGATGTGTTCGTAAACACTTTCAACTCCTATCGGTCAAAGTTATTTGAAATCTTCAGCGTGTCTCTCAATACAGAGAATTCATCATCTACTTTCTGGATACACGTGTAGGCATAAATGGCTCTCGGGATAAATTGGTCAGAATAATATTTGGTTGCTAATGCCTTATAATAACACCACGTTTCCATTAAAGGCTTACAATATTCTTCAGTCATATGCAAGAATCTATGACTGAAAGCGATATGAATCATGTAAGTGGATAAATTGCACCATAATGATTCACACTAGCCATCAAAATGCGGAGGCAATGGTCGTTGCCCAGTGCTTTCTGAATATTTTGAAAAGATTTTGACATCAATGGAACAATTACAGCAGAAAATACGAGCCTGTGGTTGGAAGAAAACAACATGTCAGACTATGTAATTGCACCTGCGCATCAGATTTCACGAAAATCTGAGGACAACATTTATCAGAACACCCTGGTGTAGAAATCGGGGTTTTGTCCCCACAGTTTATTGAAAGCTTCAGCCGCTACTCTGAAACTTGCACTCAATGAATGCCTTTGCCAATGATTAAAGTCGAATTCCCAATAAACCCGATAAAGTCTGGCGAAGATGAAGAAACTTCTGGACAAAATGAAGGACAAACAACCGGGTCCCATTCCCAAGATTAAAATCACAAGGTGCAAAATAAAAGATGGCTTTCATTCAATCCGAAGGGCACTTCGGGTCACCTGAACTCAATTTCCCCAACCTATCATGAATTTTGGATGTGTCCTCCGAGTTGATGTAATGCCACCCTCTACATTTTTCTAAAGAGGGCCCTAACTTGAACTAAGCTGTCCACGTGGAATTACTAGCCCCTGTAATAGCCAATAATGAGCCATGTGTATGATGGCAGCAGAATTCAATCCTCCGTCACACCTCAAGGAAAGATCGAAGTGGGTTGTCAACCATTTCATGCAACTTCACAGGTCACACAATGTATGCTTGGCCCCCAACCTCCCCTCACTCCAAATTCTGAGCCGGTAATCTATCCTGCGTATAAGACACTAATCGCCGTGCTAGTAATGCAAAATCCGACCGGTTAATCGACAAAATTAAGGCGATTTTCGGGACTCTTTCCAGTGAGCGTGTCAGATCAACTTCATCTAGGTTACTCTAGATCAAACCTCCTGATAATAGTGCGATTTCCTTGTCAATAATTTTTTGTAAGCTTATTAAATTCACGTTTACCAGCCAACTTCTTTTCTTCTTCCTTGATTAAATTGTCAAATTAATCTTGAGCACCTGGTATATTCCATTTCTAAACACTATTATTAATGCCAGAATGCGAGTTTTCACATTTCTTTAACGAATTGTACAAAGTGCCCATTACATTTTTCCCATGTGAAGCAAGGTAAGGATAGAAGCTTTATTTCATTTCTGAGCCAGTCGGTTAAATATTTGTGTTTTTAATTATTTATTGAAGCACAAGATTTCACTAACCTATACGACGTCATTCTTTTTACCCCTTTTTTTGAGGAGTGGAAAGAGGCAAAATTGGGGAATTTCAGTCCACTTAGCTAGAATTACCACTCTTGAATTGATGTGATTGACCGAATTAGGAAAACATGTGAACACAGAGTACTCCGGTGTGGATTGAAGGAAGGAGAAGACGTAAGTTGGCTAAGGTCTTGTAGAACCAAGTCGTTGATGAATTACTCCACAAAATTTCTCTCGAAAATTAGTTTTTGAATTCAGGTACATTAATTCAACTTGTTCAATTTAAAATTACTTCAAAACCTAAGTGCTTATTTTGCTAGAATGTAGTAGTACCGTCCCATATTAACATATTTTGTCAATTGCAAATATTTGTTGTGTTCGAGTTGTTCTGAGCTTAGAGAGCTTATGAAGTATGCTCGTTTCGGAATAGTAATATAGATGTAGATAGTAGCTCACAAAATTTCGACAAATTTTTAACCCCCTAGTGACTGGAAATGCATGAAGACTAAATGGCATAGATCTTCTTAAAATCTAAAACCTTCCACAGTGTATTTATTTTTTGTCCACAAACTGGGACTCTTCATTTGTCTATTTTAGTGAAAGGGGTTTTCTATGAGTTGGCTAATATTAACTATGCCACTTTTTTATTCGCTGTTGATTGATAGGTGAACACTTGGTTTCTCATGGAGTGCAATGAGAAATGGCCATCATATCTAAATGCCATTTTTCTAATGGGATCTTAAATTATTGTATTCTTGCAAGTTTGTTATTCTGAACGGGTTTTTTATCTTAATGGTACATTTGCTCGCTTGTGAAGTCAGAGATCGTGGATTTGGTGTCTGTCATGGCATAGCGATTGAGGCGTATGATAGACTTTCTAATTCGGCGTGGGGTATAATGACAGTTTCTCACTGTAACTGTGGGGGTATTAAAATCAAGGGGTGTTAGAATGAAAAAAGGAAAGCAGTAATTTTGATTGAAGTTCTTCCACCCTAACCTTGTTTAAAGCTCTCTTTGTTTATCGTTGCAGAACGTAGATGTGTTGATGAACCCTCCTAATCCTCAATGTGTACCGAATTTTGAGCAGTTCAACCACTGGGCACCCCAACGCGCTGGCATGATACAAGACATCAGTAAGTTGCACTGTCTGCTTCTCTTCACCATTTGAGGACTGCGTAAAAATGTATCTCGATATTTTTAGTGATGGGCTTCGCAGAATATGGAAATAAAATTCCAGAACTTTAGGACATTTACAATATTTACTTAATGTATTTATTTATTTATTTATTTATTTCAAATGGCAGGCGTTTTGATAGCTATCATTAGCCATTTAGCTGACTTCAGGCTTCACAGAGGGAAGGTTCATCAAAGTAGAAGAAAGTCGAGGGGTGGGGTATAGAAGAGCGATTCACAGATGTAAAAGAGGCAGACAGGCACAAAGGTAGCAAAAAAGGTAAGATGAGTACTGTGGAAGGGGTCGAACATGACATACAGTGGGGTCGTGGCAGTTTGAAGTCAGAAGTCAACTGCCGGTTAATAGACTTTTTTGCCGTATGAGTATACGTTGCCCAGGGTGCGCCACGTGGAGGTAAGTCTATCCCACACCCCATATTTACTTAATGTAGTAAGTGGTACCAGTTACCAGGCAGCTCAATAAGAGATGAGAGAGAGTGTGTGTTGGATTGGAAAGAGGTTGAGAGCAACACCAAGTTACCGAAAAGTCTTTAAACTATATTTGCCATATACTATATTTCCAAGATTGGCCGGAGTTGGTTGAGTGTGCCGATTAGCCAACTCATGAGAGCCCGGGTGGCAAATACACCTCGGTTGCTGTTTCCAGCCTAGATTGAGAGATATTTCCA